AGAGAGAGAGAGAGAGAGGAAGGGAAAGGAATCCCCATAAGAATCCTCGATTCTAAATTTGCCGTTAATAGCACGGCGTGACGAATGGGCGCAGATGCATTCAACGTGCCTCATGGGACGTGCCCTGTTTTGAAAACGTGCCGATACTCGGAGCCGTGCGACAACATCGACGAGCTTTCCGATTTACTGTAGGGTATATATACGGTATGTCCGGTCTCTCTTCGGTCCCTCCGCTTCGATTTTCCGTGTCATGGCTAGCGAGCATCTCTTCGTGCGTATCTCATAAATCGCCGGCAATTTCAGCTGTCCTCGGTGATACGACGAGTCGACGCTGACCTGGTCAGACGACGCATCGCGCCCAAGTCGCGCGAACGAAAGTAACGCGAAAGCTTTTAGCACGAGGATAAAAGCAGTAGCATTTACTTTTTGAAGCATCGAAAGACGTATCCACGATTCATACAATTAATCTTGTTTTGCAAATGCAGTGCAAATTACTGGCTGCCTAAGATAAGAAAATTTACTCGTCAATAAGTTATTTATTTTCATCATCAAAAATGATGAAAAATCAGGATTTTTCACTGTATCATTTTTAGATAACATTTTTTAGATAACATTTTTAGATAACATTTTTTTTTATAATAATATTATGCTTAATATTTAATGAAATTAGAATCATAAATAACTATAAGTGACAGTTTAGCGTGATTAGAAGATTGAAGATTTAGTCATTCGATTAAAAGTTTTTGTAGACTGAAAGTGCTGATGTTCAACATAAATATCTATCGACGCAGCTTTTCGTGGTGTGTGTTCGAAAAAAAGTGATTTTTTACGATACTCGAGGCACTCGAGATTTCTGTTTAAGTAAGAACGGAGGAAGTGGTACTTCGAGTAGAAGCGATGGCGCGACAGCTGACATTTTATTTCGTTTTCTTCGAATAGTAGAAGAGTCGAACAGTAGAGGAAAGTGGCGACGTATCGTGAAAATACATAGTCGTTTCAACAAGCTGACACCTCTCAACGCATTTTAAATCATTATTTAACGATATATTCGCGCATGTATTGAAACGAAATGTCCGTCTCCTCCTTAAAATCGATCATAAAACATCACCAGAATTTTAGCTGCGTGAAAATGACCAAAAGAGATCGTTTAGATGCTGAAGAACACGTGTTAAACGTTTACATACGCTGATACGTCATTAATCATATATGACGGCCACGTAACGACTAAGGCGTAGCGTTAAAATATGTGGTTCTTAATAGCGCGGTGATCGTTAGCCGACTGATTAATTATCTACTGTCTGATAAATGACTCTCTCTGGTTGCTATTTGACGAAAGCTAGTTAAAGAGAATACGAAGGGGCTCTCTAAAAATCCAATGCAAACGTGAACTTGCGCCAAAGATGAATGGAATGAAAATCAATCGTGTACCTTTCCATTGAGTTTCTCTTTATTGCTCTATAATTCCACATATTTACACCATCGCGGTATCGATAAAGCTCGCTTACGTACTACATGATCGATACGCTCGCTTGTAGGCACATGAAAAATTCGGCGATTTGTTCCAAAAAAATTGTTGAGCATATCGAGAGATAAATGTCTCGCATGAAACTCTTATATAAGCTAAAAGAACTCATCACATCAGGAACTGGAGTCATTATTTTGAATATAAAGTACGAAACAAAGCAAATGCAAAAAGATATTCACTTAATTAGAAAAAAATCTCTATGTTAAAAATATAAAAAAAAAACCAAAATAAAAAGAAAATATTTGCTGTTTTTGACAAGAAAAATACGGGAGATTTCGTTTATCTATTATTTAAAGAAAAGAAAAAAAATACAAAGACACGAAGAATATTTTTAACACTCTCATCGTTTTTGCATTTCTCGTTTGTTATAAATCGATATCATTAAAAAAGCAAATAAGTTGGAAATAAATCTCTCATAAAATCATATTAATGTCATATTAAAAATATTAATAAAATTATTTATTTTATAAATATTTAAAATAATTGTCAAAAAGTTGTCAACAAATAATAATCTCAAGTAATAATAAATTTTTTTACTCTGCTATAATTTTCTGCTCAACCATTCTGTATCAACTATAACATCTCAAGTTATGTTAGCGTATGAAGGTTAAGATTCTCTTTTAAAATATTTGACTCCACGGTGCTTTCGATATTTCCTATAAAATTTATCGATGACAATCGGAAACCTATGTTTGTGCGCTTTCATCGAACATCCTGGATTTATTAAAACGCTCGCAATGTTTGTAATTCCCGTTTTTCCGATAAAAAAAAAAAGTGCGAGTTCACTTGGCATGTCGTTTACATGGTGTTTCAAAAATCACGTACTTCTTCACTAAAGGATTTCTTTAAATTTAGAAATATATTCGTTATTTATTTATTTTTTATATGTTTAGTAATTACGATAAATCCAATAATGATACGATATTATCTATTTTCCACAATGCTTAATCGCAAATCTCTGAAAGCACACCTTTTGCACGAATTTTGGATCACCCCGCGTAATATGGTAGAATTATTCTGAGAGAGGCAGTCAGGTTTTTGGCTGTGTGCGCGCATTCACATGAAATATCAAATGGCACACATTGCCGCCGTAACGGCTAAGGAAAGAGACCGATCCGCAAGGATTAAGTCTCGTTATTGTACAAATTCAGTGATGTGACGAATAATGACTCTCGGACGACGGCTGCAACGGCCCATTGATGCTTTGCACGATCATACTGAGACAGTCCAAGCTGCTTCCGTTATTTTGCGAAGATAATGCCTCAGCTTGCTCGAAACCTGGAACAGATAGACGAGCAATGTTAGAATCACATTCTCCAAAAAAAATCATTCGCACTTCGCGTTCCGTTATTTCGCGCCGTTCACAACATCGCTTTTATTTAATCTCGCTTTGCCAGATGCAAAAGACTGGAGATCCTACCTCCGAACGGATTCTTTTTGACAAGTCGAAATTCCAACGCTAGAGAGCTTAAACTTCATTTTCACGCCGCGTTTAGCACAAAAAGATCATCGCAATTCCAAAGCAACGAGCGGAGTCTTGCAAACACGAGAGCAACGTTGCACAGTACTAGTGTGCAAAGTACAAACTACGTTTAAGCGAACTTTAGGTGCTCTTTGACCATCCTCCGCCTTCCGTTGCAGTGTATATCTAGATACGGATGAATTGCGAGCGCTTCCCGAACGGGAGCCCGGGGTCGGCTTCTTCTTTCCACTTTTCGTTGTTCTTCGCCGCGGAGAAAGCATTTGCATAAGTTATGTACTGCGAACGTAAGGGGCTTTGAAGCCGTTATTCTTGGCACTGGCGCGCACCTCCGCTTTTTGGTCTTAAATTCAACTCATATTTTTCAGTCACTCTTGATGAAAAGGTACACGTATCCACACATTAATTTTAATTATTTATTATGCAATTTCGGTAATTTCGGCGCATTTATCGAAAATCAGCACTCGGAAAAATTCTTGCAAAGAATTAATACCTCTTTTTCTAACTAAAATATTATTGCAAAGCGTACAATTATTTTTTATTTTCAATTATACGAAACAATTAGTTATAGAGATATTCGTGGATAAATTACTTTAAATTAATTTACTTTAATTATTTATCTATTTTTATATCAATTTTACATTTTCCGATCTTTGTCAATTATCTTTAGGCAAAAATGATAAAATTAAACGATAAAATTAAATATAACACATACACACAAATGTGAAAGCTAAAAAGATATTAATTACTTATAGATATTAATTAATTACTTACATAGAAACAAGAATATAACGAGAAAATTATTTTACATGCAATATTTATATATTTAGATATGTAAATTATTGGAAACCCTAATTATAATGATTATAAAGCAAATACGAGCTCTCGCGGCAGATCATCGAATGCGCTGATGACTAATTAGTCATCCACACCCACCAGCATTTTAGACATGTTGCTGGCACGAAAGTAAGGATAAAGATATATCTGCTAAGAGCGTAACCGAGAAAACGGACGGCATGAAACTAATAATATTAGTTGGAACGACGAGAGTACGCCGACACGCACCGATGAATACGAAACGAAAACAGGTAGCTTCAACCTTCTCTTTCTCTCTTCACTTCCCATTCGTTTTCTCTAAAAGGGATGATAGTGATTAATTCTTAAATTGCTGCTTGTTTGCTAAGTCGATGTTTACTTAAGAACATCGAAGGGACAATAGTCTTTTAATGACAAGCAGTTGAGAATCAGCAATTTTTCGCGAAAATCAATAAAGAGCCTCTCATTTAATTCCAAGCGGATATCATTTTAATAAAATTTTAATTGGAAACTTAGTTACTAACACGTTTAGTTGAGAAAATAAAAGAGTTATGAGAAAAAAAAATGGAGTCCAATCAAAACTTTCGTGGAAGAAAAATCGATCCCGCATTAAAAAACGATCACGTAAATAAAGTTTGTAAAAGTTACTTGTTAAAGTTCTACGTACAAAATTACATAGAAATAATGTATATATGACGTTATCGACGCCTAATTTCTCATAAATATTGCAAAAATTCCGACTCTCGGCGCCTCCAATCTCCATAGAATTAAAAACAATATAGATATGAGGAGATTATAAATATTCATGGATCTAAGATGCTAAGATAATGAGAAAATGCAAAGAGGATTCTGTATAGCTCCGTTTAAAGAGAAGAGAGAGTATCTGATGGATATGGAAATGGCGCACATCGTAAAGTAAAAGTGATAACAGTGATAATTACAGAGGACTGATAGTTTAACGAGATTGCACGAAGGGACTTGTAAACTAGGGAAATGTAAACTTTGTACGTGTAAACTGTGTTTAATTCAGACAAATCTCCCCTTAGTGTTCTATTTTGCCGCTTCTGTGTCTTTTCGCCTAATCGGAAACTATAGAGTCTCTCTGCTATAAATGAGGAATTACATTAATAAATGTTAAAATTTGAATATTAGTGCTGAATATAATGAACTTATTATAATTATAACAGAATTATTATTATGATTATAATAGAAAATGAATTTTATCAAGATATTTTAGACTAGATCTTTAGTCCGCTTTGTTTGATCGTGTATCCTTTGAACGTTTGAAGAAAAATTACATATTTTTTCCGCCACTTTACTTACGCACATATATATTGCCCCGAAACAAGAGGCTTTCCGAAAATCAGAAATACCAAAATACCATACCAAACGTTAATGATTGAAACGATTGTTTGGCAAGGCACAAACGTGAGATTGAGGTATACCCGAATATTTATTTATAAATCACTATGAGATGTATGATACCCGCTGTCATACTTCTGCAGATGATATATCGCTTAGATTGCTTGCCAAATTCATTTGGTACACCGCGCAATCACGACACCGAATAGATCTCGATGATGGCGTAAATTATTTACAGACAACTCTGACAACTCTGTCAACCGCAATGTAATTTTCAACGTATACGCGAACAGACAGAAAACTGACATATGATTCCTTTACCAATAACTTTCTGTCGGAATATAATAAAAAACGGAATGTGTCGCAATAAATTAAATTAAATAAATGTACGAAAGATAACAAAGCTAATTTCTCGGAAGCAGGATTTCTCAAATGTTAAATATCTATATGAAATAGATTCAAATAATTATATTACCAACTATGTACCATATATCTAGCAAACTTACAACACAGTAATTCTATAATAATTCGATAATCAAATATTTTTGATGTCGCTTAAATATGTCGCTCTTTTAAATATTTCTCCACAAGGAATATATATTGCAAAAAATATCACTTCATGAATAAATGTAATTTTCAAATATTGAAAAAAAATTCATTTTTCATTTCATTTTGCTTACATTCTAACTATATTTTTCTTATGTTAAACATTTGAAGTTAATTATAACATTTAGTGCAGGTAAAAAATAAAAATATGATGTTTAAGTCAATTTGTACATAAATTTATTTTAAATAATTTAAATTGAATGCAGTTCTTTTTCATAACACTAATTGTAAATCAAGAAAAAACGTAAGCATATCTTTCTGCGAATTATTAATACAAAATGAGATGTGTCAAATGCATAAATTGATATAATAATCAAGTTCAAAATAACACTCTTATGACCGATTCCATCAACGTAGATTTACTTTAATCTCGGTTTAACTTGCTCTTTATCTTTTTCTAATTCTTAGAACTAATTCTAATTCTTTGAACCGAGATTAAAGTTAATCTACGTTAGTCGAATCGAGCATTAAAATTTTAATAGACAAAATTTGATCGAAAAATAACAGATATTCCAATATTTTACAATTATGAATACAGAACGCTCTACATCGTGAGACACTCTAATCAACTCAGTAAATCAGTAGATTAAATCGTAATATCCAATAACATTCGGCATTTGGCAGAATGACAGAAATAACTGGTCAACTTATGAACGAAGAAACATGAGAGATAGATTTTAGAACGGAAGCATATCTATAAACATATATAAATAGATGTATAGAAAACAACGTATTCTCTTTTATTGAAAGAACACATCAAAATAACGCTAATATAATATATAATAAAATATTGAATATCTTTTAGTTTAACTTGTTGCGATACAACATTATTTATATTAGAAAATAGCATTAATCTAAAATAGAAATAAAGATTTCAGATAAAGATTTTTTTTTAATTCAAAATTAAGGATAAAAAGGTTATAAGATTTTTTTTTATTGACATTACTAGCACAAACAGGGAGCTTGCCTAAATGCTTTTAATTTAATACTTTCAACTTTAAAAAGCCCGGTCTTTTATAAATAATCAAAAAGATTAAATTTTGATGCGATATTCTTGCATGGATTTAAAATATTTCAGTAAATAGAATCATAGGTGCAAATGTGATAAACGATCTTTTCCTTGAGTCCAAACATGAAGCTACAAGGCATCCTAATCTTATACTAATTAGTTCGCCAGTTTGACCGACTCGTGCCTGTGTACATCATTAAAATGGGTTGCACTTCGCCCACGTAGAATAATTTCGGGTGCGAAGGCTTAATGTTCTCGGATGGGATTTTCTCGTTGGGGGGAAGGGGGGGGGGGAGGAAAAAAAAGAAAACTCTGACGGAGTAATGCCGCGACGGGCGCACTTAGAGCCTCTTGTCCCCGGGAAGTTCAGAGTCACCGATGCGTTTCTCACTAATGAGGAAGAATCAAAGGTACGTTGTGCCGTTGGAGGAGGTCCGCGTGCATGGATTCAGCAAATAGTCTAGGACACGTCTTTGAAGATGGAAATGCAATTAAGTCGTCTCAATTTACTTGCTGCCCTAAGCATCCGGTGTTCTAAATGGATCACGACTCCTTCGGGAACATTTTCTTCCTGCGCAAGATCAGTTCGTGGGATCACGTGCAATTATCGAAAACATCAATATCTCGAATTCACAGAATAAGATTTCCGAATCAAAATCAATTTTTGAACGCGTTACACGCTATGTTTATTTTTTTTCAAATCATTGACGACGATATTGTAGTTCGGTAATTATTTCATCCGTAACTTCAACATTATAGTCCTGGATATACGATTGGTTTACGAGAATAATGAAACTATTTCATATATTAATTCACAGTTGTGTATTACATATGTGACTTCATATCGCTTATAACTGTGAATTTATTTATGCAAACAATAGAGTTTCATGAATGTTATTGTAATTGCGATTTCTCTCTTTTGATTAGTATAAACTAATCAAAATTATGTTGGCAAAATTATATATGCATTGAGAAACGACATCTGCTTTGCTTATTCATGAGTCA